TTACACATTTTCTCAAATATCTCGAATACGGTCCATTTTAGAGAAATTATGTATGAAATAATAATTATAGAGAATTATATAACAAACAACTTTTATTTGAACAATTTTTAGAAAAAAATATTTTTTTTTACATTTTGTCAAATTTCTCGAATACGGATCATTTTAGGAAAATTTTGTATGAAATAAAAATTATAGACAATTATATTAGAAGTAACGTTTATTTGAAAAATTTTCTTCTCCAAACGTAAATAACAGATATATTCACACACACACACGCACGCACGCACGCACGCACGCACGCACGCACGCACGCACGCACGCACGCACGCACGCACGCACGCACGCACGCACGCACGCACGCACGCACGCACGCACGCACGCACGCACGCACGCACGAACGCACGCACGCACGCACGCACGCACGCACGCACGCACGCACGCACTCACACACACACACACACACACACACACACACACACACACACACACACACACACACACACACACACACACACACACACACACACACACACACACACACACACACACACACACACACACACACACACACACACACACACACACACACACACACACACACACACACACACACACACACACACACACACACACACACACACACACACACACACACACACACACACACACACACACACACACACACACACACACACACACACACACACACACACACACACACACACACACACACACACACACACACACACACACACACACACACACACACACACACACACACACACACACACACACACACACACACACACACACACACACACACACACACACACACACACACACACACACACACACACACACACACACACACACACACACACACACACACACACACACACACACACACACACACACACACACACACACACACACACACACACACACACACACACACACACACACACACACACACACACACACACACACACACACACACACACACACACACACACACACACACACACACACACACACACACACACACACACACACACACACACACACACACACACACACACACACACACACACACACACACACACACACACACACACACACACACACACTCACACACACTCACACACACTCACACACACTCACCTTAAAACGTAAAAATCCGTCGAAAACTCGAGGTCGAAAAAATCATGATTCCTATACTTTCCTTATATCTGTATACAGATAGGAAAGTAAAAATGTAAATTTTTTAGTATTTTAATTAAAAAAAACCCTAATTAATTTAACTAACCTGTGCGGCCTGAGGTCGTCGTGGGTTGCTTCGCAGAAAAATTATTCATAAAATGAGAGAAAGTTAAAAAAAAAACTAAGCGTAGGTTGCTTTAATTTTTTAGTTTTGGAGTTTATTTATTTGAACTTTTGTATTTGTTTTGTTGTTCGAACTTTTATATTTTCGATGTTTTGTTATTCGAATTTTTATAGTTCGAACTATTCTTTTCGAATTTTTCTAATTCAAACTATTTCACCAACTCATTTTATTTTTCTTCTAGTTCTTTTCTTCAAAGCACAATTTCAATATGACAACGTTACAAACTAAATGATCGCTTATATGTCAAAAAAGATGATTCCTACTACTAGAGGGAGCGTGAAACAAGTTTGTAGGCGAATGTTGTGTTCGCAACATCTGTAGAGGAAGTGAGGAAGCGGGCACAAGAGGGAAGGTAAATTCCCCTCTTGTTCAGTGGCGTATCATTTCTATGTAAGAGTCGGTCTTTTCACCTTCAGATAAAGTTCCAGATAACTAACTGACGGATATATTATCTGAGAGTTACTATCTGTCAGATAATTAGTTTTCTGTTTTTACAAGTAAATAATATGTGTGGTAGGTATCCAGTAGTTTTTAACCTTATGTGATTATGTAACTACCTGTTTATCCATCAGTGAAGTATTTTATCAGAAATTTCATAAATAAGATAATTTATCATTCAGAAGATAAGTTTACCCAGAAGTGAAAAGATTACTTTTTAAGTCACTTGGAGGATAAAAAAGACCGACCCTAAGAATACATTGTCCAAAAATTTTTAATTGTAAAATAAACTGAAAAATTCGCTAATTTTACTATTTTTAAAATGTGTGTCTTATGCAGGAAATAAAACAAAATTTCTGTAAAGTTCTAATTTCTTCAATTAAAGAATAAAACCTCAAAACCAATACGTTTTATTATAAATAAATACAGGAGACTAGTTTCGGCCTCACAGGGACATCTTCAGGTCTGTAACGCAATAATCTTTAATTATTTTAATAGGAACGATATAAGATTAGGTTGGTTACTTACGATTAAAATTAAACAGTATAAATCACAAAAATGGATTCATATTGTAGCATTACAGTATTGTAGAATTAAAGCTGTGGAAAAGGAAAAATAAAAGAGCGGTGCAAACTAAACTAAAAATATGAAAAATGGGTACGGAATCTACAAGAGATTAGAATGAGCAATTACGATGGCATTTAAATTGCTCGGGATAACACATAAGGCTGATAATATATCAAAGAAGGCCCGGATATGTGAAAAAGGATTCGGTGTTTTCTCTGTAAATCTTGAGAATGTAAGGATGGAAGAATGGCGAGTCTTGCTGTCTCAGGTGTAGTTAGGCTAGGAAAAGGAAAGTGTAGATGAAAGCTCCAGTAAATATCGTCATTTTTGTCTAATTTTTTATTCTCACTCACCGTTTCGGCTTTATCTTCGAAATTCATTTTCAAAAGGAAATAAAAGTAATCATTCATGCAAGCATATAATAAAACAACGTGAATTCATTATATTTAATAAGCTAATAAACGTTTGGTTCAATGAAAAAACATATATGTGAATATAAAAAAATGTTAATAACATACCTTCTAAAAGTAACACATTTTAAGTAGATACAGGTTTAAAGACCTGTGTGAAGATAGAAACGGCAGTTAGCAACGGAAAAAAGTGGTGAAGATAGAAACGATATTTAGCAACGGTAAAAAAATGAAATTAATAAAACTAAGAATTTTTTGTATAAATATTATGAACCTACTAATCAATTTTTTAGAGACGTGACGGTGCAAATAATTTTTCCCAGATCTTTGTCGGGGGTGGCAAAATGAATTTTTAAAATTGACGTGTGTTAATCAAGAATTAAAAATATAGAAAAGTGTACCGTTTCTAAAATGGTACACACTGTATTTTTTATTTATAGTAGAGCAATGTTTATAAAACTTGATGATGTTCTCACTTTTTTTAGAACTCCATCGGGGGCGGTGGAAATAATTTATATATTTAACGTATTGAATACGATTATTTACAAAGATTAAAAATATGGAAAAGTTCACCGTTTCTGAGTTGATACACCCTGTATTTTTTATATGTAGTAGAGGAATGCTTATAAAACATGATACCATTATCTATTTTCTCACAGCTACATTGGGGGCGGTGGAAATAATTCCTAAATTTAACATAAAATTATTACATATTTACCAAAAATAGAAATACAGAAAAGTCCACCGTTTCTGAGTTGATACACCCTGTATTTTTTATATGTAGTAGAGGAATGCTTATAAAACATGATACCATTCTCTGTTTTCTCACAGCTCCATCGGGGGCGGTGGAAGTAATTCGTAAATTTAAAGTAAAATAATTACATATTTACGTAAAATAGAAATACAGAAAAATCCACCGTTTCTGAGTTGATACACCCTGTATTTTTTATATGTATTAGAGGAATGCTTATAAAACATGACACCATTATCTGTTTTCTCACAGCTCCATCGGGGGCGGTGGAAATAATTCCTAAATTTAACATAAAATTATTACATATTTACCAAAAATAGAAATACAGAAAAGTCCACCGTTTCTGAGTTGATACACCCTGTATTTTTTATATGTAGTAGAGGAATGCTTATAAAACATGATACCATTCTCTGTTTTCTCACACCTCCATCGCTGGCGGTGGAAATAATTCGTAAATTTAACGTAAAATTATTACATCTTTACCAAAAATAGAAATACAGAAAAGTCCACCGTTTCTGAGTTGATACACCCTGTATTTTTTATATGTAGTAGAAGAATGCTTATAAAACACGATAACATTCTCTGTTTTCTCACAGCTCCATCGGGGGCGGTGGAAATAATTCCTAAATTTAACATAAAATTATTACACATTTACCAAGAATAGAAATACAGAAAAGTCCACCGTTTCTGAGTTGATACACCCTGTATTTTTTATATGTATTAGAGAAATGTTTATAAAACTTAAAGTCACTATCAATTTTCTCAGAACTCCATCGGGGGCGGTGAAAATAATTCGTAAATTTAATGTTAAACTTTTACATATTTACCAAGAATAGAAATACAGAAAAGTCCACCGTTTCTGAGTTGATACACCCTGTATTTTTTATATATAGTAGAGGAATGCTTATAAAACATGATACCATTCTCTGTTTTCTCACAGCTCCATCGGGGGCGGTGGAAATAATTCGTAAATTTAAAGTAAAATTATTACATATTTACCAAAAATAGAAATACAGAAAAGTCCACCGTTTCTGAGTTGATACACCCTGTATTTTTTATATGTATTAGAGGAATGTTTATAAAACTTGAAATCACTATCAATTTTCTCAGAACTTCATCGGGGGCGGTGGAAATAATTCGTAAATTTAATGTTAAACTTTTACATATTTACCAAGAATAGAAATACAGAAAAATCCACCGTTTCTGAGTTGATACACCCTGTATTTTTTATATATAGTAGAGGAATGCTTATAAAACATGATACCATTCTCTGTTTTCTCACAGCTCCATCGGGGGCGGTGGAAATAATTCGTAAATTTAACGTAAAATTATTACATATTTACCAAAAATAGAAATACAGAAAAGTCCACCGTTTCTGAGTTGATACACCCTGTATTTTTTATATGTAGTAGAGGAATGCTTATAAAACATGATACCATTATCTGTTTTCTCACAGCTCCATCGGGGGCGGTGAAAATAATTCCTAAATTTAACATAAAATTATTACACATTTACCAAGAATAGAAATACAGAAAAGTCCACCGTTTCTGAGTTGATACACCCTGTATTTTTTTATGTAGTAGAGAAATGCTTACAAAACATGATACCATTCTCTGTTTTCTCACAGCTCCATCGGGGGCGGTGGAAATAATTCCTAAATTTAACATAAAATTATTACACATTTACCAAGAATAGAAATACAGAAAAGTCCACCGTTTCTGAGTTGATACACCCTGTATTTTTTATATGTATTAGAGGAATGTTTATAAAACTTAAAGTCACTATCAATTTTCTCAGAACTCCATCGGGGGCGGTGGAAATAATTTGTAAATTTAATGTTAAACTTTTACATATTTACCAAGAATAGAAATACAGAAAAGTCCACCGTTTCTGAGTTGATACACCCTGTATTTTTTATATATAGTAGAGGAATGCTTATAAAACATGATACCATTCTCTGTTTTCTCACAGCTCCATCGGGGGCGGTGGAAATAATTCGTAAATTTAAAGTAAAATTATTACATATTTACCAAAAATAGAAATACAGAAAATTCCACCGTTTCTGAGTTGATACACCCTGTATTTTTTATATGTATTAGAGAAATGTTTATAAAACTTGAAATCACTATCAATTTTCTCAGAACTTCATCGGGGGCGGTGGAAATAATTCGTAAATTTAATGTTAAACTTTTACATATTTACCAAGAATAGAAATACAGAAAAATCCACCGTTTCTGAGTTGATACACCCTGTATTTTTTATATATAGTAGAGAAATGCTTATAAAACATGATACCGTTATCTGTTTTCTCACAGCTCCATCGGGGGCGGTGGAAATAACTCCTAAATTTAACATAAAATTATTACATATTTACGAAAAATAGAAATACAGAAAAGTCCACCGTTTCTAAGTTGATACACCCTGTATTTTTTATATGTAGTAGAGGAATGCTTATAAAACATGATACCATTATATGTTTTCTCACAGCTCAATCGGGGGCGGTGGAAATAATTCCTAAATTTAACATAAAATTATTACACATTTACCAAGAATAGAAATACAGAAAAGTCCACCGTTTCTGAGTTGATACACCCTGTATTTTTTATATGTAGTAGAGAAATGCTTATAAAACATGACACCATTCTCTGTTTTCTCACAGCTCCATCGGGGGCGGTGGAAATAATTCGTAAATTTAATGTTAAACTTTTACATATTTACCAAGAATAGAAATACAGAAAAATCCACCGTTTCTGAGTTGATACACCCTGTATTTTTTATATATAGTAGAGGAATGCTTATAAAACATGATACCATTCTCTGTTTTCTCACAGCTCCATCGGGGGCAGTGGAAATAATTCGTAAATTTAACGTAAAATTATTACATATTTACCAAAAATAGAAATACAGAAAAGTCCACCGTTTCTGAGTTGATACGCCCTGTATTTTTTATATGTAGTAGAGGAATGCTTATAAAACACGATAACATTCTCTGTTTTCTCACAGCTCCATCGGGGGCGGTGGAAATAATTCCTAAATTTAACATAAAATTATTACACATTTACCAAGAATAGAAATACAGAAAAGTCCACCGTTTCTAAGTTGATACACCCTGTATTTTTTATATGTATTAGAGGAATGTTTATAAAACTTAAAGTCACTATCAATTTTCTCAGAACTCCATCGGGGGCGGTGAAAATAATTCGTAAATTTAATGTTAAACTTTTACATATTTACCAAGAATAGAAATACAGAAAAGTCCACCGTTTCTGAGTTCATACACCCTGTATTTTTTATATATAGTAGAGGAATGCTTATAAAACATGATACCATTCTCTGTTTTCTCACAGCTCCATCGGGGGCGGTGGAAATAATTCGTAAATTTAAAGTAAAATTATTACATATTTACCAAAAATAGAAATACAGAAAAGTCCACCGTTTCTGAGTTGATACACCCTGTATTTTTTATATGTAGTAGAGGAATGCTTATAAAACATGATACCATTATCTGTTTTCTCACAGCTCCATCGGGGGCGGTGGAAATAATTCCTAAATTTAACATAAAATTATTACACATTTACCAAGAATAGAAATACAGAAAAGTCCACCGTTTCTGAGTTGATACACCCTGTATTTTTTTTATGTAGTAGAGAAATGCTTATAAAACATGATACCATTCTCTGTTTTCTCACAGCTCCATCGGGGCCGGTGGAAATAATTCCTAAATTTAACATAAAATTATTACACATTTACCAAGAATAGAAATACAGAAAAGTCCACCGTTTCTGAGTTGATACACCCTGTATTTTATATATGTATTAGAGGAATGTTTATAAAACTTAAAGTCACTATCAATTTTCTCAGAACTCCATCGGGGGCGGTGGAAATAATTCGTAAATTTAATGTTAAACTTTTACACATTTACCAAGAATAGAAATACAGAAAAATCCACCGTTTCTGAGTTGATACACCCTGTATTTTTTATATGTAGTAGAGGAATGCTTATAAAATATGATACCATTATCTGTTTTCTCACAGCTCCATCGGGGGCGGTGGAAATAATTCCTAAATTTAACATAAAATTATTACACATTTACCAAGAATAGAAATACAGAAAAGTCCACCGTTTCTGAGTTGATACACCCTGTATTTTTTATATGTATTAGAGTAATATTTATAAAACTTAAAGTCACTATCAATTTTCTCAGAACTCCATCGGGGCGGTGGAAATAATTCGTAAATTTAATGTTAAACTTTTACATATTTACCAAGAATAGAAATACAGAAAAGTCCACCGTTTCTGAGTTGATAGACCCTGTATTTTTTATATATAGTAGAGGAATGCTTATAAAACATGATACCATTCTCTGTTTTCTCACAGCTCAATCGGGGGCGGTGGAAATAATTCGTAAATTTAAAGTAAAATTATTACATATTTACCAAAAATAGAAATACAGAAAAGTCCACCGTTTCTGAGTTGATACACCCTGTATTTTTTATATGTATTAGAGGAATGTTTATAAAACTTGAAATCACTATCAATTTTCTCAGAACTCCATCGGGGGCGGTGGAAATAATTCGTAAATTTAATGTTAAACTTTTACATATTTACCAAGAATAGAAATACAGAAAAATCCACCGTTTCTGAGTTGATACACCCTGTATTTTTTATATATAGTAGAGGAATGCTTATAAAACATGATACCATTCTCTGTTTTCTCACAGCTCCATCGGGGGCGGTGGAAATAATTCGTAAATTTAACGTAAAATTATTACATATTTACCAAAAATAGAAATACAGAAAAGTCCACCGTTTCTGAGTTGATACACCCTGTATTTTTTATATGTAGTAGAGGAATGCTTATAAAACATGATACCATTCTCTGTTTTCTCACAGCTCCATCGGGGGCGGTGGAAATAATTCCTAAATTTAACATAAAATTATTACACATTTACCAAGAATAGAAATACAGAAAAGTCCAATGTTTCTGAGTTGATACACCCTGTATTTTTTATATAGAGTAGAGAAATGCTTATAAAACATGACACCATTCTCTGTTTTCTCACAGCTCCATCGGGGGCGGTGGAAATAATTCGTAAATTTTAAGTAAAATTATTACATATTTACCAAAAATAGAAATACAGAAAAGTCCACCGTTTCTGAGTTGATACACCCTGTATTTTTTATATATAGTAGAGGAATGCTTATAAAACATGAAAAAATACAGGGTGTATCAACTCAGAAACGGTGGACTTTTCTGTATTTCTATTTTTGGTAAATATGTAATAATTTTACTTTAAATTTACGAATTATTTCCACCGCCCCCGATGGAGCTGTGAGAAAACAGAGAATGGTATCATGTTTTATAAGCATTCCTCTACTATATATAAAAAATACAGGGTGTATCAACTAAGAAACGGTGGACTTTTCTTTATTTCTATTTTACGTAAATATGTAATTATTTTACTTTAAATTTACGAATTATTTCCACCGCGCCCGATATAGCTGTGAGAAAACAGAGAAAGGTATCATGTTTTATAAGCATTCCTCTACTACATATAAAAAATACAGGGTGTATCAACTCAGAAACGGTGGACTTTTCTGTATTTCTATTTTTGGTAAATATGTAATAATTTTACGTTAAATTTACGAATTATTTCCACCGCCCCCGATGGAGCTGTGAGAAAACAGAGAATGGTATCATGTTTTATAAGCATTCCTCTACTATATATAAAAAATACAAGGTGTATCAATTCGGAAACGGTGGATTTTTCTGTATTTCTATTCTTGGTAAATATGTAAAAGTTTAACATTAAATTTACGAATTATTTCCACCGCTCCCGATGAAGTTCTGAGAAAATTGATAGTGATTTCAAGTTTTATAAACATTCCTCTAATACATATAAAAAATAAAGGGTGTATCAACTCAGAAACGGTGGACTTTTCTGTATTTCTATTTTTGGTAAATATGTAATAATTTTACTTTAAATTTACGAATTATTTCCACCGCCCCCGATGGAGCTGTGAGAAAACAGAGAATGGTATCATGTTTTATAAGCATTCCTCTACAATATATAAAAAATACAGGGTGTATCAACTCAGAAACGGTGGATTTTTCTGTATTTCTATTCTTGGTAAATATGTAAAAGTTTAACATTAAATTTACGAATTATTTCCACCGCCCCCGATGGAGTTCTGAGAAAATTGATAGTGATTTCAAGTTTTATAAACATTCCTCTAATACATATAAAAAATACAGGGTGTATCAACTCAGAAACGGTGGACTTTTCTGTATTTCTATTTTTGGTAAATATGTAATAATTTTACGTTAAATTTACGAATTATTTCCACCGCCCCCGATGGAGCTGTGAGAAAACAGAGAATGGTATCATGTTTTATAAGCATTCTTCTACTATATATAAAAAATACAGGGTGTATCAACTCAGAAACGGTGGATTTTTCTGTATTTCTATTTTTGGTAAATATATAAAAGTTTAACATTAAATTTACGAATTATTTCCACCGCCCCCGATGGAGTTCTGAGAAAATTGATAGTGATTTCAATTTTTGTAAACATTCCTCTAATACATATAAAAAATACAGGGTGTATCAACTCAGAAACGGTGGACTTTTCTGTATTTCTATTTTTGGTAAATATGTAATAATTTTACTTTAAATTTATGAATTATTTCCACCGCCCCCGATGGAGCTGTGAGAAAACAGAGAATGGTATCGTGTTTTATAAGCATTCCTTTACTATATATAAAAAATACAGGGTGTATCAACTAAGAAACGGTGGACTTTTCTTTATTTCTATTTTACGTAAATATGTAATTATTTTACTTTAAATTTACGAATTATTTCCACCGCCCCCGATGGAGCTGTGAGAAAACAGAGAATGGTATCATGTTTTGTAAGCATTCCTCTACTACATATAAAAAATACAGGGTGTATCAACTAAGAAACGGTGGACTTTTCTTTATTTCTATTTTACGTAAATATGTAATTATTTTACTTTAAATTTACGAATTATTTCCACCGCCCCCGATGGAGCTGTGAGAAAACAGAGAATGGTATCATGTTTTATAAGCATTCTTCTACTATATATAAAAAATACAGGGTGTATCAACTCAGAAACGGTGGATTTTTCTGTATTTCTATTCTTGGTAAATATGTAAAAGTTTAACATTAAATTTACGAATTATTTCCACCGCCCCCGATGGAGTTCTGAGAAAATTGATAGTGATTTCAAGTTTTATAAACATTCCTCTAATACATATAGAAAAAAAGGGTGTATCAACTCAGAAACGGTGGACTTTTCTGTATTTCTATTTTTGGTAAATATGTAATAATTTTACTTTAAATTTACGAATTATTTCCACCGCCCCCGATGGAGCTGTGAGAAAACAGAGAAAAGGTATCATGTTTTATAAGCATTCCTCTACTATATATGAAAAATACAGGGTGTATCAACTCAGAAACGGTGGATTTTTCTGTATTTCTATTCTTGGTAAATATGTAAAAGTTTAACATTAAATTTACGAATTATTTCCACCGCCCCCGATGGAGTTCTGAGAAAATTGATAGTGATTTCAAGTTTTATAAACATTCCTCTAATACATATAAAAAATACAGGGTGTATCAACTCAGAAACGGTGGACTTTTCTGTATTTCTATTTTTGGTAAATATGTAATAATTTTACTTTAAATTTACGAATTATTTCCACCACCCCCGATGGAGCTGTGAGAAAACAGATAATGGTATCATGTTTTATAAGCATTCCTCTACTACATATAAAAAATACAGGGTGTATCAACTCAGAAACGGTGGACTTTTCTGTATTTCTATTTTTGGTAAATATGTAATAATTTTATGTTAAATTTACGAATTATTTCCACCGCCCCCGATGGAGTTCTGAGAAAATTGATAGTGACTTCAAGTTTTATAAACATTCCTGTAATACATATAAAAAATACAGGGTGTATCAACTCAGAAACGGTGGACTTTTCTGTATTTCTATTCTTGGTAAATGTGTAATAATTTTATGTTAAATTTAGGAATTATTTCCACCGCCCCCGATGGAGCTGTGAGAAAACAGAGAATGGTATCATGTTTTATAAGCATTCTTCTACTATATATAAAAAATACAGGGTGTATCAACTCAGAAACGGTGGATTTTTCTGTATTTCTATTCTTGGTAAATATGTAAAAGTTTAACATTAAATTTACGAATTATTTCCACCGCCCCCGATGGAGTTCTGAGAAAATTGATAGTGATTTCAAGTTTTATAAACATTCCTCTAATACATATAAAAAAAAGGGTGTATCAACTCAGAAACGGTGGACTTTTCTGTATTTCTATTTTTGGTAAATATGTAATAATTTTACTTTAAATTTACGAATTATTTCCACCGCCCCCGATGGAGCTGTGAGAAAACAGAGAAAGGTATCATGTTTTATAAGCATTCCTCTACTATATATGAAAAATACAGGGTGTATCAACTCAGAAACGGTGGATTTTTCTGTATTTCTATTCTTGGTAAATATGTAAAAGTT